ATATAGACTAATTTGTTGGAACTAACCTGGAAAAATAAACATGAAAGTCAATCAAAATATAAAACAGGAGATAAAGTTCTCCTTTTTTAATTTAATTAGTGCATTTTATGTGCATTAATTTATAATTCTGCTTTTAATTCTAATTATGTCAGTTTTGGTCCTCCATACTACAGAAGCCTGATAATCATCTATTCATTCATATCAGGTGTGTTGGAGCAGAGAAACAAGTACAACATGCAGGGCTGCGGCCCTCGAGGACCAGGATTGCCCATGCCTGGGTTAGATAAAACACTCCACACACTAGTTTTTCATCAGATTGCAGAACTTGTGTTTAAGATCGAACTGCTTGGCAGGAAGGGCCTTCCATATCAGTGACATCTTTTTGCCCCAGAGGGAGTGGTTCGGTCAGAAGGTTGTTTATAAGAACTATGTGATTTCCTGGTTCTGAGCCAAAACTCTGAGACTTGATCATCTGTTTGGGTCCAGTTGGGTCCAATGAATTCCTTATATGAGTCCATTAAAATTCAATTCAATTCAATTCAAAAATACTTTATTGATCTCAGAGGGAAATTTGGTAAAAATGCCAAAACTCAGTATTTTACTCAACTGATAACTTCCAGTAAAAGAAATCCAAAGTAGCTGTTTGACACCATTTCTATTGTAAACAATTCAGTTTCCCAAGCTCATGAAACAGCTAAAACAGATTGTGATAATTTTCTCAAATTTGCGAAGGTCAGTGATGTCAGGGCAAACATCGCCCTGTGAACTTCTTACAATCCTCAGCTGCAAGATTGCTAACTCACTTCACCAGTTCAATTTAGACTTAATTTTAAAATCCTGGTTTTAACAATTAGAGCTTCACTTGATCAAGCTTCCTCTTATATGTTGGATTTGATACAGCTTCACATCTTACTGGTTGAGGTCATCAGGTCASAGGTTGTTGGTGGTTTCCTGCACCCATTTTAAATCTCGTGGACTTTTGTATGTGTGTTCTACCCTGTTTCACTTGTACTTTTATAAATGTAATGTTTTAAAACTYTTCTTGCTTTTACTGTGAAGCACTTAGTGATTTTATAAGAAAGGTGCTATTTAAACTTTACTTACTTATTATGATCATCACTATGTTGTTAAACAGAAACTTATGCCATTTAAACTTTTTTAATCAAACATTATTATAATAATAGTATAGTAATACTAAATATTAAATTCCTTTTGACTTCAACTCTTAGGCCCTGTCACACAATAACATTTTAAACAACATATGCCGAAATCTGAAAATTTTGTCCAAAACTCTGTCAGTTGCTGAAGATGGAATAAAAAAAATCAACTGGAAGCCTCTTTTACATACTATATTGAAAATGACTTGAACAAATATATAATTTATTTCTGACATTAAAGTAACTTATCCTTAAGTTGTCCCTGGCCTGTCATTTACATAACTAATACCAACCTATAAGTATTTTTGACTTATGCAAAGATTTTGTACAACATTAGTGCAACATTGGAGAGTATTGCAACAAGGGCAGCTGTTACTGAGAAAAAAATGGCAAACACGCAGGTTTAAGTAGCATGCAGATACACGATGAATATGTTGTCATACATGCCAGCCAAAAATTTTGTTCATGCACAAAATTTTCAGTTCATGTCATAAGTTAGGCACAAGTTACAGGTATGCAACAGGTAACTTATGCACAAGTTTGCACACGTTACATGCAAGTTGCTCATAAGTTGACATAACGAATGTCAGAAAAGGCCCCGGCACATTGTAACATTTTAGACAACTTATTAAGACCTTTAAACATTTTTGATTGACTGAATTACTCATACTGATCAAATCAGATTTGATCAGCTCATTTGCATCACAGTATATACAGCGGGTAAAATAAGTATTGAACAAGTCAACATTTTTCTCAGTAAATATATTACTAGAGGTGCTAATGACATTGGGCCTCATGCAAGAACATGTTCGTATTCTTATCCTAAATTTCTCTTACTTTTGTTCGTA